GTGTGTGTGTGTGTGTGTGTGTGTGTGTGTGTGTGTGTGTTGTCCCTGTAATATGACCGGAATGTATTCTGACCCTTGCCTGATGATTTCTGATAAACTCTGCTTTCCTGCAACTGTAAATAGGACAAAGTATAATTGACAAAAAAAATATTTTAGAGAAAATGCTCTTTTGGAGATCTTTAACTTTTTGTCCTTATCTGAAAACTTTATGTTTAATGTTCAGGTTTTGTTTAGCATTAAAGCACAACGTCACATTTGGAACTAGAGCTGCCAAAGGTTTGACCTAAAAGATCTAAGAAAAAAAAACTGAATTATTTAACTGACTGGCATAACAGTTGTTGCCAACAGTATTTGAATTCAGTWATGTCTTTGTTTCCTGACAGACTCTTCAGTGTTGTCTTAGAATTTTTGACCAAAGAAGATAAGGGAGAGGGTGACGGAGCTAGCACCCATCCGTCGCCGCATGGCCATGGAGGTAAGCCTGGTGGATTTGATGTTAAAGCCCTTCGAGCCTTCCGTGTGCTGCGACCCCTGCGGCTGGTCTCAGGAGTACCCAGTAAGTGGTCCAAACTTTGGAGTTTTCTATAAACAGAGTGAAGCAGTGTGTGAAGTTTGGTGTATATTTCTGCATTTTTGTGTAATAATCTGAGTAAGATGAAGCTAAATGTCTTAGAATGGAGAGTCCAGATACAAACATACAGTAAATACATCTCATCAACTTTAAAAGATATAAATAGGTTAGATGCAGATAAAATGCAAACTATCACTTTACCGTCTGGTGCCATGTGTGTTGTTTCTGTTGTGAGTCGAGCTGATTTTTGTAACCATGTTCTTCTGCTCATTCAGTCCCAAACAGCCAGGCCTCTTGTGAAGAGTTCATTCTTGTCTTTGCTCAGGTTTACAGGTGGTGTTGAACTCCATCATTAAAGCCATGGTTCCTCTGCTGCACATTGCCCTCCTTGTCTTGTTTGTCATCATCATRTATGCCATTATCGGCCTGGAGCTTTTCATCGGTAAAATGCACGCAACCTGCTACATAGTTGGCACAAGTAAGTGCTCTCGGCTTTTCTTTTACACATAAAAGCAAATCAGCCTTTTAGGGAGTGTGCTGTTTATGATTTTTTTCTGTGTGGCTTGACTAAAAAAGCTCATGTACTGTAGTGCTACAACTTATTTGCAGTGTGAGAGGAATAGACAAAACTTTTTTTCTCATTCTGAATAAAATGTTTGTGATTTAAGTAGGACTTTTCATAGGAACAAATTGTTTTATATTGCTTTTTTCATAGAATATAGTGCTAGAGTCTGAACTAACAATGCCAGTGTATATAAAATGGTTAGTTTTTTTATACTTCCGTGACAAGCTGAGGTCAACCTGTCATTGATTTTCTGTTTATAGTCGTATGATTGATGCTCAGCACACCCACTCGGTCAGTGCTTTCTTGGAAAAATGCACATGTTTTGGCAATACATCCTCTTCGTGTTGGGTTATTAGTGTTTAATTTGCTACAGGGTGCAATTTTTCCAACAGAGCTTGGCGTCACTTGTTTTGAATCAGTGCAACATTATTTTACAGCCAAGTTCGCAGTTGTAACTGTTAACAGCAGATGTATTTCTTTCAGTGGCTGATAATGGAAACATTTACAGTATTGTGCCAAAGTCTACATCAGGAATTTAATTAAAAGATTTTATTTATCACTCTCAAGCCAATGCCCCTCTTCTCTTTCACATATAGTGAAAGGTAATTACTTAAAGGAATAATTCAATTTTTTAAGACTGTGTAATCTGTCTGCAGCAATCATATKTTTTATATTAACAACAGTAAAAATTAATTATTTATTGTAATTTTTCTACATTGTGTCACGTTTGCTTTAGCTACACATACATCTGTGGTTTACTCTCATGACTGACTTTATTGGAACACGTGTTCAGTTGCAATATTTTCCARGTGAAACACAAGTAGGAGCATAATAGGCATACTTGTCTGCATAGCAACATAAAAAATATTGTTCATTATTTTTTATTAAACCTTTATTTCACCAGGAAAATTCTACTGAGATTAAAAATCTGTTTTGCAAGAGAATCCCAGCCAAGACTGGCAGCGGTACACAGAGCTTACAGAACATTCATCCAAAAGTTGAAATTTGCTTCAACAAGATAAATATTTTAAAAAGTGTGAGCTGCAGGGATTTCTTCAAAATAGCTGTCAGCTTCCTCACAACACGTGGCCGTGTGAAGTTAGACAGCTAGCGAACTAAAGTCAAAAATATTCTGCACTCAAAGCTTGCTTTAACTGAATTCTTTGAGTTTTGTAGTTGAAACATACAGAAAAATAAAGACAAATTACTAATACGCACATCAGTTTCACATACACATCCCAAATGATTRGTTTAGTTGACTTAGCTTAAACACGTGTTCGCCACATTTTTCTTAATCAAATTAATTTGTGTTTAAGTGCATTCTAAACACAATACTTGGAAAGACGAAACTCTTGTAAGGTGCAAACATTCAGGGCACATTTAGCGTACAAAAGAGCTGTTTTTCCCACTTTCAACACACTTGCCTTACTAGTGAAAATACATCAAAGATTGTTTTCTATGGTAAGAGCGCTCACTCGCTCACATGCTGTATGTAGTACAATATGACAAAGGTCAAGATGTGTCACTCGGATCAGAATTTGAACCCAAATCATATTTAACCATTTTCAGCATTCATTTACTTAAAATAATCATTAACTATGAATATCTTACTCCTTTAAAAAAGACAGCACATCTTCACTCTCCAGATTCTCTCATTTGAATTCACAATTACCGTCTAATGCACGGAAGATGCTGACTACTCAGAACTATTGCACACAACCCAACTCAGATGCACTACATTACTGATTAAACCAACTCTTTTGTAAGTTGTAAAAGTGCTGCACATGACATGTGTGGAGACTAATAAAAACACTGAATGCATAAATGATTCAGCTACATAAACAGTCTGATGGTTTCTCTTGCTGCAGACGTGATAGATGAAGAATCAGCTCCATGTGCGATCTCAGGGCATGGGCGCCAATGCTCCGTCAACGGCACAGAGTGCAGAGAAGGCTGGCACGGTCCCAACGGTGGCATCACCAACTTTGACAACTTCCTGTTTGCCATGCTGACGGTGTTTCAGTGCATCACCATGGAGGGCTGGACAGACGTGCTGTACTGGGTGAGTCCCTCGCTCTCTCTCCTGTTCTGATGGCCCATTTCGATAGCGCGTGACTGACACATGCCTTCAGCTTCAATGTGTCCTCAAATCAGACACACAGCAGTAATGTGGCTGACAACGTGGTGACGAAGCTGCTGATCACTTCTTCAGGCAGCTCTTATGTCGTAGATATGATTGATTGCGCAAATGACTCTTTGCATTTATCAACTCTTAACAAACACAACTGTTCTGACATTATCGATAATCTTACAAGATCTGCTTTTTTAACTTGACACCACTTCCTGAAGTTTTAATTACATTTCTGTGAGATTGATGAGTTGAAATAGCACAGAAATGCTGTAGAACAGTTTATTTATTTTTTTGGCTTTGTCTTCCCAGCTGGTTTTATGGGGGGTAATGAGCCACTTAATTCAACTTCACCCATCTCCTCTTCAAGTTGTTCCTCTGTTGGAATCAGTCCTACAAATGTGGACACAATTTAAACTTCATTATCTAATAATTATCAAATATCATTCAATGAAGCACAAACCAAGACTTGATCATCTGTTTTATCCTCAGTTTTTGATATTTCAGGTTAGAATTATTGGCTCAATTTAATAAAACATCATTAAAGAAATTGAAAGATGCATCTTAATATCAAACTAGAGGCTCATAGTTGAGTATGAATTATAATTCAAATTAGTCTGATTAAACTGGGATGTTCCTGTCTTTTCATCCTTGTGTGCTTTGTGCATGTTTTTAGAGACAATGTTTGTTTTTTGAATCAGGCAGATTATACCAAACACTGGGCTCATGAAGCGAGATGATTTTCATATAACATTTAATAAATATTTATTGCAAAAGAAAAGGAAACTTTGCAAATTATCAGGATGTCTGGTCAATTTTATTTATTTATTTTTATGAATATTTAGGAAGAATCCCAACTAAATGAAATGACCCAGAAGTTCCAGCCTTAAAGCTAAGTGCTAKAAGAAAAGAGCATCACTGAATCTTTAATCATACAATAGTGACCTAGCTGTGTTAAAGTACGAGGAAGTTTTGATTAGGATGTCTCTTCATGAGCCCAGATAAATGGAAATGCTTTGAAGTTCATCTTAAGAAACTTGTTTTCTGTTCATGCTTTTTTTTCTTATCTGCCTCTTAAGGCTCATTTCTCTGTTTCTGCCTCTCTTTCTCTACTTCTTCTCCACTCTGACTTCTTGCTCCTCTAGATGAACGATGCTATGGGTTTTGAGCTTCCATGGGTCTACTTTGTCAGTCTTGTGATCTTCGGCTCCTTTTTCGTTCTTAACCTGGTTTTGGGTGTGTTGAGTGGGTAAGAACCTTCTTCTCTTCGAAGACAGAGCCTTTCTGCTTGGTTGCAGGCAGGAAGTTCTCTGTTTTTGTTTAGTTTTCTGTGTGTGTCTGATAACTGGCTACTTTTGGATCCCGTAGGTCAACGATGCCATCGGATGGGAAACCCCCTGGATTTATTTTGTCAGCCTGATTATACTGGGCTCCTTTTTTGTTTTAAACCTTGTGTTAGGTGTGCTAAGTGGGTAAGAGGCAACTTGTGCAGTGGATTTGGTCTGCAGTGTGCAAAGCGTGTTTCCATGTTTGGGATGTAGTGGTAGCTTATAAATCAATATGTGCTTTGGCTGCAGATTCTTTTTGCATGTGGCACGTGAGCCACACAAACACACTCTGGATATTTCTACCAATTGTTTTAGACACAAAAACAGCTAGCAGCCCACATTACAAAGTTACTATAAATTCTTTCTCAGCCTTTTTTTTTCCTGACCTCAGTTGATTTTAAACTCTTAGATCGTTTCTTTGCCAACTGCAATGCAAGCATTTCTTCTCCCATCCTATACTGAACCCACTCAACCTCCCAAGAAGAGAATTAATCTCGTTCCTCGCCTTTCACTGTGTTCCTAAGCTCCTCTCAAACCACAGTTTGCTTTCCCAGCTCTGTGGAGTAAAGGGTGGGGTGGGGTGGGGGGGCTGTTATAGTAGAAATAACTCTGGATTGTTGACCAACGGGAGAGTTGTTCCATTTATGGTTCATTAAACCCTCCTGTCAGGGGACTTTTGTGGTCCCCTTTTTTGCTGCTTTTAATTATTGTTTGCCACCAAAAGGCAAAGACAGATAATTAGGTTTTTGTTTGTGTCTGTGTGTGTGTTAGTGTGTCACTGACTCACTTTGATACCAACATGTTTCTAAAAGCACTGGATGGATTTTAATGAAATTGGCAAAAATTTATCATTAGATAAACATCAACAGCTAATTAAGTTTTGGACTTAAAACAGTTCAAGATGATCCACCACAGCCTACTGACCAAAACACTAAAAGGCTATATCTCAGTCAGTTTTGCAGATATCATCCAAATAATTGGTGTGGTGGCAGCTAGATTGATCTCCAACAGTGCAGGACAGATTGCCTGTAAACTCGGTTTAATGTGTTAATCTCTGTTAGTTAAAAATCTCATGTGCTGCGCTGAAACTTGAAGGAAAAAGTAATTGAATGTACTTTTAAAGCCAACCCAGTCAAAGCTGGCCACCACAGCTAACTGATTTTAGAAAACACAAAACCTGCTGCAACTCGGTCTGTTTTACAGATATTTAGCTACAAAATGATGTGTTTGATTGATCTTTAACACATACTCTAAACATGATATTGTGTGATATTGCATGAGACTGAACATAACAGTATTTTCAAAGATAAACCTAAAGAACTATAGTTCCATCATTACTTTGGTAGGCGGTGTGCATTCCTTCAAGGACATAAGGAAGGCTTTGATTTAATTGTCTTTGCAGCAGTTTTCTACTTTCAGTTTCAATGTGAATCCGCCGTTTTACCCCTAAGCAGCMGTACGTTTTAGCCAGACTTGATTTATTTACCCTAAAGTGGTTCTGATTTTTTTTATTCAAATCTCCCGTTATTACAGCTTAATTATACTACAGTATAAAATTATATATTCACTCTCATCTTGTATAACTAATAAATGAAGATTTAATGCTAATGTCACATGTCTCCATGAAACTATCTACCTAAGTTACCTTTTCTGTATATTTAGGATTCTTGCCTGAAGGAAACGTTGCTYCCCTGCTGGGCTCCATGTACACAGAGCAGTGTGTCTCTCATAGATTTACATCTCCCTCCAGTGGATGGATTTTGKAAAATCACACAATATATTCAATCATTGTGATTATATTTTAGATTATATTTAAAAAAATACAGTCTGAGTAGACAAAAATGTACATTTAGATAGTCTAAAATGTTTTACTGTTTGGGGTGATTTATGGGATGACCTTTTTGGTTTACTTTGTGTGGATTAACGTGTGCATCTTGTTTGCTGTGAATGTTTCTCAGAGCCTGTGTTTGTGGTGATTCATGCACTTTTTCTATATTTGCTTTCTTTCTTTCTTTCTTTCTTTCTTTCTTTCTTTCTTTTCACCCATTTTTTCCAATTCAACTTCAGAGAGTTTTCCAAGGAGAGAGAAAAGGCCAAAGCTCGTGGAGACTTCCAGAAGCTGCGGGAGAAGCAGCAGCTGGAGGAGGACCTGAAGGGTTACCTGGACTGGATCACCCAGGCTGAAGACATCGACCCCGACAACGAGGACGAGACTGATGAAGGGAGCAAGCGTAACCGTAAGCACAATCCCTCCACTTGCTCGCTTACGTGAGTAAGAGTATCACATTAGGTTCTTGCAATATGAAACAGAATATCCAACAGTTGTTGAGTGCTTAAGGCTTAAGTGCTTTGCGACTTTGTTTAAGGTCACCAGGAAWATTTACTGAGCTTGAGCTTTTAAAAAAAATCACATCCACAAACTGTAGATAAATCCTAAGTGAGTTAGACACTCGACACACAAACAGCATGCAAATATAAAACTACACATATAAAGTTCACATGGTGAACAGAGCAACTGTGAAGCAAAATAAAAATAAAAAATAAAAAACATGAAACTATCAGAGTTTTTGTAWAAGATTGTTCATCCACATATGCAGTTTTGTGAAAAGATTTTGAACAGATAATATCTTACACATTACTGCTAGCTTCCTGAATCACTTAAGATTGGATAAAAAGGGTTTAATTCCTTAATTCTCCCCAGTTTGACGAGCAAATTGCTAGTCTGAGTGGAGTTGAGAATAAAATGGATTACTCTATAACTCCATTCACACATTTTTTATCGATTCATGCGAAGGTTTTTAAAAAATTAGGTTAAATTTTTGCATTACACCATTATTCCAGCCGAAATATTATGATAATCCAATCAATGTGCTGCACAAGACTTTCTACTGCTAACTGCTGCTGCTGACATTTTGTGCTTCCAAATAATCATAAAATTCATTTCAAATACTGTAACTTTTTAATGTAAAACCAAATAAAAATGCCTTTTTTTCTTCAGACCGGAGGATGGAAACCACCCTCTTGGCTTTAGTCTTGGCTTCACTAGCTGCTATTTTATACATTAAGTCAGAATTAAAGCTCCAAACTGAGTTGTACAATGGGTTATCTACAACAGATAAGATATTAATTGTTTATACCTGTTATACAAAACTTAAAATATCAGATCTYTTTCCTCAGGGTGGTTAGTATAAACATCTAAAATATTTTATTTCCACATTTGGTGTTTGTCACTCGTGGACGATGCTTTAAGTACCACAGGAGTTTATCTGAGAGGAGAAAAAAACTAACACATGACTTGAGCAGTAGAAAAACTTCTCATCCAAATCCTCTTTATTTAAGCTGCACAGATGGAGAACAGACAACCTCCGTCTGCTTCACCTTGTAGTTTTAATGTTGGATCTCTGTCACTCTGCTCGTTATGTTACCTGCATAGTTTTTATGTCCAGTTTTTACATGTTCTCCGTCTGCTGTCGCGGATCCCGCCTGTCATTTCCTCTTTTWCATTTTTTTTCTTTCGTTTTATTAGCAGTGTTGTCATTTTACCTTAATGTGAGCTTCTGTGTTAAGAGCTGGAAAGTCCGTCCGTCTCTGGCTTTTATTGTTTAGCCGAGAGTCTGTGAGCTAACATCTTCACATGTCCTCGCCACCTTCAGAAGCTTTCTGTGATTAATAGCTCTCCATGTTGTTCTTCTGCTCTCCTCAGTGTCTGCAGCCCATGTGACTCCTGCTGCCTTTGTCATTGTTGGATATTGATATTTTTGAATACTGTTGTTGTCCTGTGGTGCTTGTCTGCTCTGACCCATTTTGATGGCAGTCCATTCTTGCCCCCTCCCCCTCCCCCCCTCCTCCATGTTCCTCCGCTGTGCCGTTGTGTCTGAATGCATGGGCTTGCATGCATTGCACATGAAGGGGTGACTCTGGCTGACCTCACTGAGAAGAAGAAGGGAAGGTTTGGGTGGTTCAGCCAGTCGTCCGACACTCATGGTAAATCCTGTGTTTTTTTTTCCCTCCAGTGTTCTTTAGCTTTTGTGTCTCAATYTTTTTCTGTGTTGTTTTGATGCTCTGATCCAGGGGTCTGCAACCTGCGGCTCTGGGGCCACATGTGGCTCTTTYGTCCCTCTGCAGTGGCTCTTTGAAATGTGACCAAACACAACAGAATTTTTTGTTTGTTTGTTTTCTATACTCACAACAGAAATCAATTTGTATGCAAAAACGTGATTAATACTACTAATACAAAAAGTAAAACATGTTAGCTCATACTATGTTGTTTACATAAATAATCCAACTTATTTCTCTTAAATCCATTAGAATTACCTTTAAAGAATTTGAAGACCACGTAGTAATAAGAATAAGAAAAATATATATACCTGAACAGTTCAGTTGTACTGAAATTCAGGATAAACTATATACAGTATTTTTTAATGTTTACCTGAATATGATCTTTTCATTTGTCCTGATGTGTAAAAATAATAATAAATAATAAAATTCACAATATATTTTTTAGTTTTATAATGTCACCTCCACTGGCCATAAATGTTCCCYAAAAMGCCATGAAAAGGCCCYCAGACCACCAGTTGATATTCACAGTTGTAGCTTGTTTTGRGGCTCTGGARACATTTTATRAGTGAYACAAGGAGCAGAAATGGCTCRTTTGATRYTAAAGGTTGCAGACCCCTGCTCTAATCGATTAAAGAAAGAATATTAACTGATGTTTGTTCTAAGTCATTGTAACACTGTGCCATTAAAAAAAACTAAACCTTCCAAACACAATTATTATGTTAGCTCTGAATGCCACGTTATCAGCTTTCCCTCGTATGTGTATAACTTTCAAACTGTTKCAGCATATTTTGCTGGAAGAATAATGTAATATTTCTTTACTTATTTTCACTACATTTTTTTAGTTTCTCTATCTACCACTGTTTCCAAGCTTAGCGCTGTAAGKTGAAAAATAATGAAAATATATCATTACTTTCCATTTTTGCCTGCAGCTTGTTCTGCAGTGCAGTAATTATAGATATAGTTAGGTTAGTTTATTATATTTGAGTGAACCACTGACAGCGGGGCTCAAAATGAGCTGACAGCTGTCCTGCAGAAAAGTAAAATTAAACATTCTCTTAAAAAAAACTTAKCACCACCAAATGAAGAAAATGTGTCTATAAAACAAGCTGTTCTTCTTGCTACTGAAAATCGGCAAGTTTGTAAATGAGTATGTTTTTGTCAATAAATCATCGACTGGACCCGGGACRGATAAATATCAGTGCCTGCTGCAGAGTCATTTGATCCGGGTCAGAGGTCCACATTAAACACTTTCCCTCTGATCTCAAAAATCTATTAGACTCAGATGAACACGATTTTTGTCACTTGGCCTTTACAGCTGGAAGATTAGTAGTAAAAATGAGGGGGGCTGTTGTGCAGCTGAATAAATGTTACCTTTTTAAACGTGAAGCTTCTAATTTTCCATAGTTGTTCCTCCGCAGAGGTCCAACAAACTGTTTCTAAAAATAAAACTGTACGTTTTACCTGCTAATTGAGTCCAATTTGCAGGTGGAAACACAGCTGTGCTTGGTAGCAGCCTCACATGGTTAACTTTCTGTGCCCCAGTTTAAAACCAGGGGCTGAGTATGAATAAAGGAAACAGGGCTAAACCCAGATCCAGCAGTCAGCACTATTTTCAGAGCTGTCCAACGGCTCAGGAATCAAAGCCGACACAACTACAGAAGCTAAGCAGAGGCACGCTCCCGCTTATGYATTTAAGAGTTGAGACATTTCACACAGCTAATCACCGTGTGTCGGCACAGTCAGTCGTACTAAAAGAGTGCTTTGAGTGCAGCATTTCAAACGCAGCTATGAGCTCGACCCCGTTATTTCAGTCCGATTCTCYTCGTTCACATCAGTCAGTCGACCTGCCTGTCCCGTGTCAGCCCTCTGTCAGCACCTTGTAGTTTAAACTGAGACAAAAATCAGCTTTTTTTTCCTTTATATTTAATATAAACTTGCTTTTCATTTTAGAAAATAAAATTACCAAGTCAAACGTCTCAAATCTAAGGATTTTATGACTTGGTAATAATTAACAGATTTTTCTGTTTGTGTAAGTGCTCAATGAACTTTACGAGGTGTCAGACTTTTCTCTATGCACTGGCCCTCACGTACTAATTTTGTATTCACTTCAAAGTGCACATAATTATAATATATGTGTAAATGTTTGCTGTGTTTGCTGCAGCCAGCGTTCCAGCCAGCGAAACAGAATCTGTGAACACCGAGAATCAGAACGGGGAAGATGAAAAGACACCGTGCTGCGGCCCTCTGTGGTGAGCATAAACAGCTTTTTATCACTGTAAACTGGTATTAAAATAAAATTCATGCCACATGCTTCAGAGTCTGTCACCCATCCTTCTTTTCATGTGATTTTAAAATGTTTGTCCAGTAATGTTCCTAACAAAGCTCTGCTGCAAACCTTRATTTATAAAATATAATTTCTGTTTTCTTTCAGTCAAAAGATCTCAAAGTCAAAGTTCAGGTCAGTATTTTTGTGTAACTGTAAGTTGTGGGACTGTGTTAGACTTTTTTAGACTTTTAGACTGTGCTCGGCTTTTGTTTTACTTCATCTATAATGAGCCTTTCCATGGAATGATAAATGTACAGCTTTCTTTAGGTCAGCATGTACCATAAAGTATTTTTAGAGAAAAGCCTTACGCAGTGGTTTTGGCTCATTTGCTGCACAGTGGGACTTGCAAAATATATCCATGCAGTTTCCACTGAGGTTTGGAGAGTTGTAACAAGACTGCACTGTAAGTTTCTTTTTTACCTGATGTCATTACTCACACCAAAACTTGTTTTCGTAGTCGGCGCTGGCGCCGCTGGAACAGATTCTGCCGCAGGAAGTGCCGTTTGGCGGTCAAGTCGGTGCCCTTCTATTGGCTGGTGATCATTCTGGTGTTCCTCAATACCCTGACCATATCATCAGAGCATTACAACCAGCCTCTGTGGTTAACCCAAGTGCAGGGTAGGATTTGAATTTCAGTCTTTGAAAATTGTGACTATCTGTAGTTATTTTAATAAAACGTGTAAAATGTTTGTTGCTACATGACATCAGAGACCAGACATCAGAAACATGGTTACATTTATTAATTGTTTTCTGATGTGTTGTTGTGAACACTGTATATCTTCCTTTTTTATTTTGGTCAGATGTAGCTAACAAGGTGCTGCTCGCCCTGTTCACGTGTGAAATGTTAGTGAAGATGTACAGTCTCGGGCTCCAAGCCTATTTTGTTTCCCTCTTCAACCGCTTCGACTGCTTCGTTGTTTGTGGAGGAATCACTGAAACCATTCTGGTCGAGCTGGAAATCATGTCCCCTCTTGGCATCTCTGTGTTCCGGTGCGTCCGACTGCTGAGGATCTTCAAGGTCACCCGGTAAGCGTATCATCTCACAGAGCYTCTGTGTGCAGTTAATGTGCGTTCATTTCATCTCAGGCCTTTTATTTCCTTCTCACTCTCGTTTCTCCCAGGCACTGGCAGTCTCTGAGTAACCTGGTGGCTTCTCTGCTCAACTCTATGAAGTCCATAGCTTCCCTGCTGCTGCTGCTCTTCCTCTTCATCATCATCTTCTCCCTGCTAGGGATGCAGGTGTTCGGTGGAAAGTTCAACTTTGACGAAACGCAGACGAAAAGGAGTACCTTTGACAACTTTCCCCAAGCCCTTCTCACTGTGTTTCAGGTATTTAGAGTTTGAGGTGCTAATATTTAAACATAATCAAGCTGCATGAGAATCAACTGTATTTTGCCTTTGGTGGATTTTTTGTCGTGTGATCATGCTGATAATTTAAAGAAGTTGCAGGAAACTATTTTAAAAGACTCTTCTGTCTTGTATTTTCTGCTTGATGATGTYCCATTGTTGGCTCCATTTAGATCCTGACTGGAGAAGACTGGAATGTTGTCATGTATGACGGGATCATGGCGTACGGAGGCCCCTCCTCCTCCGGGATGGTTGTGTGTTTTTACTTCATCATTCTCTTCATCTGTGGAAACTGTATCCTTGCTCGTTCAGACACAACTGAGACCTTAAAATAACTGTTGTCAGCAGACAAAATAGCACAAATTCTGCTTGCATCTTTTCCAACATCTGTTCTATGTCTTTACCCGAACAAAAAAATGTAYTGTCATCTGCAAATGAAATATATTTAAAACAACCCTGACACATTAACCAAATCATTCACATATAAAATAATTAACTTTGGTCCAAGTACAGAACCGTGAGGAACTCCACATGTGATGTTACAGAGTTCAGATCTTACTTCATTTATCTGCACAAACTGTTTCCTATTTTTCCGATAACTAGATATCCAGCGTAGTGCTGGTCCTCTAATGCCATATTTCTGTAGCTTTTCAAGAAGGATATTGTGGTCAATGGTGTCGAATGCTTTATTTAAATCTACGTAAATACCAGCAGATAGCAGACAAAATAACACCATGAACCGTTGGATAAATAACCTGTAGTACTCATTGGTGGAGCGTTTCTCTCCTGAACTCTGCTCAGATATCCTCCTGAATGTCTTCTTGGCCATCGCTGTGGACAATTTGGCAGATGCTGAATCTCTCAACACAGATGAAGGAGACAAGAAAGGGTGAGAATTTAACTTTGTTTAGGTTAATCCTCAATCTCCATTTTCTAATCATTGAAATTTTTCTGTTACTCACAGGGACAAGAAGGACGATGATGACAATAATGAGAGGGTATTTATTTGTTTCAGTCAACATAAACTTGTCTGTATGGTTTGACACACGTTCACATGTTGAGCTTTTCTCTCAGGACGATGAGGACGAGGACATCGATGACAATGCAGCGGATGAGGAAGACCCAGAAGTTCCATCAGGGCCTCGGCCGGTCATCGCCGACCTGGTAAAGAAGGAAAAGATCATTCCTATCCCAGAGGGAAGTGCCTTCTTCATCTTCAGTAACACAAATCCGTAAGTCACATAGAGATGGCGGCACGTCCACAAACACGAGCAGGTTCTGTTAGGTTTGATCCCACTAAAGTTTTCTTTCCTTTCTCCCCCAGGGTGCGGGTGTTTTGCCACKGACTCATCAATCACCACATATTCACCAACCTCATCCTGGTGTTCATCATGCTCAGCTCCGTCTCTCTCGCTGCTGAGGATCCAATACGAAACTTCTCAGCCCGCAACATTGTAAGTCTGACAAACTTCCACAGAAATATAACTGTAGCTTAAATGTAAAGACCTGCAGATGAAGTAGCTTTATTAAGTAATTACTTCTGAAATTAAAATAAGGCGGTAGAGTACTCTGCAGTGTCTGAAAAAATCATCAGATAAATTAATATTCCTTTTCTAAACAAAATAAATATTTTTTTCCTCTTCTTATATATTAATAGCCTGCTTTAAAAGCAGCGTCGTTAGTTTACTGAYAGAATTTTCTCTGTCTATTCTGTATTGCAGCACCGTGATTACTGCTGATTGTTTAGCTTGGATTTGATTGCAAAATGATTTGTGCCTGATTGTATCACTGAAATTCTAAATTTCACAGTTTAAATGAGAAGAACTTATGAGCTAAAAACTGTAGGAAGAATAATTTTCTATAGTAATGTTTGTTTTCAGTGAATGACACTCAGAAACACAGATGTAGTGAATTTAATTAAAAAACATTATGTCAGTCGGTTTCACTCAACTGAAGTGAGTAAAGGTAATGCAATTACTTTACATTTACTTTACATTTACTTTACATTTACTTTACATTTAAATAAATCTGTTTTTAAGCATAGAAAATCAGCTTAAAGATTATTTGAGAATAAATTAAAATCTGTGAAAATGAACTGTATAAGATCATTTGGATGTGATATTGTCACTGATATTTGATATTTTGGCTGATTTCTTTTATTTAAATAAAAAACTAAAAATGTGTTGACATATTTTCATATAAAACTGAACTGCAGGATTGAAGAATTAGATGTAGGCAACATAACATAATGCAAACTTAGCATATTGCTTTTGTACTTGTTGAGAGCAATAATTGAAAAGATAAAAAGATAAAAATGATGCACAGAGTTTGGTAATTCATATAGGCTTTGATTTTTTGAATGTAAAGTGTATTGTATTAATTACTCTGTAAACACAAGTTGTTTGTGTCAGCTAGACAAGAAGATTTCTGAGAAAAAGCACCAGAAGAAATCCTTGAAATGTTTGTCTGTGATTAAATCTGTTCCCTGTTCTTTCTGATAGATTTAATTTGTTTGTTTCATTTCATTTGTTTCATTTATTTCTTTTAACTATGGAGCCCGTCCAGTGACATAGAATAATTTTTTTTTTTCACGTGGCCACGTCTTTGTGGCGTGCCCACACGATGACTAATGTGTATGCACGTGATAATTAATGGCCTAATTTTGGCCTTGTTGTGATAGACAGACAATATTTAAGTCAGATTATATATAGATGGCATTTTTTGTCTTTGACCATTTAAATGTGCACACATATTATTATTATCATCATTATTATTATTATTATTATTATTATTATTATTATTTGGTGTATGCCAATATGAATGGATCGTCTTTCATAATAAGGCTATTTTTGAAATGACAATGAACACACTGGTTGTGTGTCGGGAAACAGATTTTTGCTGTGTTCCTGAATGCAGCATTACTCCGACTCCTTCCGCAACTTTTGAAAGTTGAACGTCAAAAAAAGAAAATAAAGCATTTTCAACAAATAAACAACTCCAGTTGTCACCTGGGACTTAAAGCTGCAGAACATAAAGCTAAGAAAAAGCTACTTCATGCCTAACGTAAGGTGCTGACGTAGCAACATCATTCATTATATTAAAATCAAAATAAATTAGTTTAATTCAGACTTGTCCATGTAAARAATGAACAGTCTGCACAGAAACGACAAAAAATAATTAGCTATGTGGTGGCCCCGACATAAATATCGCGTGCGCACATGTTAATTATCTCGTGCGCACACGATAGTCATTGCGTGGGCACGGGTTATTCTCTCATGGCCATGAATTTTTTTTTATTCCATGTCACCAGACGGGCTCCGTATTTAACAATAAGCAAGAAAAATGATAGTTGACAGTGCTGAATAACTGAAWTGATCTCAAACTAGTTTCTGGTTTTTTAGCTCCTGGAAAGGAATTCTTTTAAGAGCTAAAACTTGTGCAGTTCTTTTGGCGATACTCAGTTTGCTACAATTTTTTCATGGACTTTGATTCAGTATGATCACTATGTTTGAGTTTATAACTGAGTAAATTAACTTTTTGCATTACTCTCCAAAAAAACCCAACTCTTTTTCCTCCTTTTTTCATCTTTATTAACATGATATTTCTGAAGCTGCACGATGACTTGTCTTTGTTAAACATCTGCGTTGCTTTTTGCAGATACTTGGTTACTTTGACTATGCTTTCACCGCTATCTTTACTGTTGAGATCGTTTTGAAGGTAAATGGCCTGTGTCCCCTGTCTGTGCTGTCACTAACCACACCCCAATAACACTCCCAACATCTTGTTGCCTTCCAGGTCCTAGGCTATGCAGATTATGTCTTCACTAGTATGTTTACATTTGAGATCGTATTGAAGGTAACCCCTTAGACTGACAATGAGAGCCTTGCTGCATTCTCTCCCTGTGTGTCACCTGCCAATTAGTACAACCTAGCTTGTTTGTTTCCTTTCTCTTATTCACTTTTTTTTCATGGCACCTCTTTTAAAAAAATGGCAAACAATTACTGTAGTCTCTTTTTCGAAAACTGAAACTTAAAATATAAGATTTGCCTGACTTATTAACTACTAATAATAAAAAACTAATAATCAATAATTCCTATTGGGGGAAGGAAACATCACATTTACATGACATTATGCTCACTTGGGTGTAACATCATTCTGGCACTCATCGCTGATGAAAATGTGGACGACTTTAATGCAACCCCTTTTTGTATGATGCAACAAAATTTACTGGGCTGTTTAGACATTGTTCTAAGGCATTGGCTGAAGTTGAGTTTGAGGTCAGGGTTTGTGTTCAAACGTGTTAAAAATCAGCTCCAGTCAAAGCTCCTACCATGCCTCTTGTACCGACTGCTCTTCAGGTTACCCATAAAAGAGGGGGCAAAATTAGCCATGTTCCCGCCGAGCATGGTTCAGTCTGCTTTCCCCGACTGACTGCATGTAAATGTGGAGTCGCCTCTGCAGCTGTTTGGGGCAAAACCTTGAAAAGTCCACCGCTTTTTGACTCTAAATTCTCCAGCGCTCCTGGTCAGCAGCTTTGTGCTTCCATCTTTCTGCAGGACTTCACATTTACATGCACTAGGAAAACAAGTCCTTTACTTTTATCAGTTTAAGAAGAGTTATTTTGGCTGGCTTTATCTTCTCTTCCTACTGAATTTCAAATTGGAAGCTGCCTCCTTTTATTCCGAGCTAATAAAGAACATGACAGAATGTGCTTTAAGACGACGGTCCACATGAATGTGACAGTAAGGCCATTTCTAGTTTCCAATCCCTATAACTAGACCTCTTGCAGATTTGAAAACCCCTGACCTTAAGGCAACGAAATGCATGTTTTATTGCCTCAGCCTATAGTGGATTGTGAAAAGAATGACTTACTACTACATTCATGTAGTTAAGGGCCGTAGGGGTGGCGATTGTAGATTTAGCCTCCTGCTCTGAGCTCGTCACCCCAAATCAGAGTGATCTAAAAGAGTGTGAAGAAGTGTGTGCGTGTGTGTGACTGCAAGGTATTGAGTGCTGGTTGTGTGCTCTTGTTTCTGTTAAAAAAGTATGAAAAATGTTGATCTTATCTGTCTYTGAAAAAATGACCTTTTTAAAGTCTAACGCCTTCTGTTCGTCCCATCAGATGACAACATACGGAGCTTTTCTCCACAAAGGAGCATTCTGCAGGAATTACTTCAACCTCCTGGACCTGCTGGTGGTTGGAGTTTCCCTCGTCTCCTTTGGTATTCAGTGAGTACAAAAGAAACCTGGCACTTGTTGTATTTTGCTAGAAACGAGGGAGCCTTTTGTATTTTTAAAAGTTGCCTTGATGGATAATTGGCAAGGTTTTCAAAGTTTTTCTTTTGAAGCGGTTTCACATTTTTTATTTAGTTTGCATACATGTTTATGACAGCATATCACACATAAAAATGTTAGGAACAAACTGTTGAGCCTAAAAGACTCTCTACAGCCAGTGACAGCATTTTAAAATTAGATTTTAAAAATGGGAAAACACAACCATCAAAGACCTGACGGGACTTAAAAGATGCTTCGTTTTTCAGGTTTTCAGCTCACAGCTCTTTGAGAATCATCTTCAGTTCATTTCAGTTTCATTTCATTTCATTTTTGTTGCTCCAAACTGGGCTTTTGTCAGATCAGTGAGGAAATGTAAAGACCACAACACAGAACAGAACAGGGAGAAGAAATGCAAAACAATGTTTTCATCCCACATGTTGCTGGAGATTTGCACTATAATAGATGTTTTTGTTGTGTGTTGTTGCATTTCTCACTATATACATTATTTTTAACATTTTTCAGGTCCTCAGCCATCTCGGTGGTGAAGATTCTTCGAGTCCTCAGAGTTCTACGACCCCTGAGGGCCATCAACAGGGCCAAAGGCCTTAAAGTAGGAACTCAAGAGGTTTTTATACACTATAATAACCATAATTTAAATTCAGTATATTAATATTGTCATCTCCCGGTTCTACAGCARGTTGTGCAGTGCGTCTTTGTGGCAATCAGAACCATTGGCAACATCATGATCGTTACCACACTGCTACAGTTTATGTTTGCTTGTATAGGTGTGCAGCTGTTCAAGGTCAGCAGCCCTGAGCTTTAAAAACACATTTATAACATTAATAAAGACATTTTGAAATGAATATACATATTGTGTTTTGTTTGTTTTCAAAGGGAAAATTTTATCGCTGCACAGATGAAGCCAAGTCCAGCCCAGTAGAGTGCAAGTTAGTGTCACTTGTTGTGTTCCTGTGTGGCAAAATGTTTGCACTTTTCACTCTATGTTGAACTTTCTGTGCCATGTGTTGTGTTTCTACAGGGGCACCTTTATCCTGTATAAGGATGGAGACGTAAACCAGCCGACGGTCCACAGACGGGTCTGGCACAACAGTGATTTTAACTTTGACAACGTCCTCATGGCCATGATGGCTTTGTTTACCGTGTCTACATTTGAAGGCTGGCCGGCGTGAGACTCATTTTACTTTGTCTTAAAGGGGACATATACAAAATCCACTTTTTTAGCCCTTAAATGCATTTTGTTGTGTACTTGGAGTCTCTATGAGTGCAGAAAAGTTGAATTTAGTCTCTCATGGTTCTGCGTAGCTATCTTTATATTCTGTTRSGATCATAATTTTCAGTCTGTTCAGTTTTCTCTAGTCCTTATTACGTATTTTGAACAGTAATGTCACAGTATTTGCCGTGGAACTTCTAAATAAGGTCCTGGACTTTGGCTTACTAATGTCACAAATCCACAATTCTACAGGTTTGTCATCTTCATTCTCCTCTGGCTCTGAGTCAGACTCTGGCTCCAACATGTAAGGCTGGATGGGCAAGTCTTCTGTTGTTGACATTTTTTTTTATTAATTTGTAAAAGAAACTTAAAAACTTTCTGGGATTTAAAGAAACAGTGTCAAAACGAGTTGATAGGAGACACACCTCAAAAAAGGCATGAACAAGGGGCTTGTGGAGTTACAGTAAGGAGAAATTCAGACAAAATCATTGCAGTTCCACTTTAAGTAGACCTAAATGTGAAAAAGTAGGATTTAAAAGCATGATACTGTATATCTCTTTTAAAATACTCACACATGGTGTTACAAATCTTATTAAAACATGTTTCTATTCAAGTGTTGTGAACCTCATGCTTCTGTTTGTGTGTCTGTTTAGTTTGCTGTACAAAGCCATCGACTCCAACAGGGAGAACCTCGGTCCCATCTACAACTACCGTGTGGAAATCTCCATCTTCTTCATCATCTACATCATCATCATCGCCTTTTTTATGATGAACATCTTCGTGGGTTTTGTTATCGTCACATTTCAGGAACAGGGAGAGAAAGAGTACAAAAACTGTGAGCTTGACAAGAACCAGGTGCGTTTCATTAGACGTGCGACTTGGAATTTGTTGATAGAGATTTGTCATAAACATGGAGTTAAAACGTGTTCGCTGTGTTTCTGTGCAGCGTCAGTGTGTGGAGTACGCTCTTAAAGCACATCCACTGAGGAGATACATCCCCAAGAACCCATACCAGTATAAGTTCTGGTACGTGGTGAACTCCACAGGCTTTGAGTACATCATGTTTGTGCTCATCATGCTCAACACACTCTGCCTGGCCGTACAGGTAAGGTGTCCTGAAACCAGTAGGATATTTCAGCTAAATATGAAAATAAATACACCTCTCAGAGAATAAATGTTACCTCACTGTTAGAACAATAAAAAAATCATCCATTTTTCTACTGCAGCATTACGGCCAATCAGCACTTTTTAATTATGTCATGGACATCCTCAATATGGTCTTCACTGCTGTGTTCACTGTGGAAATGTTTCTCAAACTCATTGCTTTCAAACCCAGGGTGAGTGTTTTTCACACAAACATGGAATTAAATAGACTGGAAGTGCAAGTATTGGTTTTAGAATATGCTTATATAT